GGCCGCCATTTCGATCCCGAATTTCAAGGTTACCAGCACCTAACACGCGTGCCCAGCCTAATCCTTCCCCTTCCTTTTCTCATCATCATCGTCGCTGGTCAAGCTCATCGTCGTCACTTTCCTCTCGCCAGTCAAGCTCAAGGGAAGAAGCCGGTAGAAAGAAGAAAGAAAACGGAAAAAAAAAAGATGGAGATGGATGGAAAATGTGATGGTAGTGGTACCATTCGAATTTTGTAAAATTTCAGTGGCACGATTAATAAACAAATTGTAATGATATTTATTTGAATAAACAAATTTGTAATGGCACGGATCGAATCTACCCTTTAAAAGATCTCGTAAATTTCGAAAACCAAGCACATATACACGCGCCGGCAGTTAAAGCCGATTAACCGGATTCGTTCAGCCCCGGTTACCGCAAAATTCTAAAATTAACAAATATATAAATTGTAGTGCAACTTACTAAGTGTCATGCACAATGACGTAGGTTAAACATGTTTTGAGTCATTATCGTTGCACACTGTTTGCAACAAGATAACAAAATTAGGTATTGTCGGCGTGGTCTGCAACTAAGATAGAGATACAATTGTATATACAGAAACAAAAGAGAAGAGGTGTACGCTAATCCAATCTCACATTTAATATCAACCATATATGGAGTATAACTACAATAGGGAAATAGGAATAAAAAGTTGTATACAAATCTAATTCATCTTTTCAACGCTAAATTGCATGCATGGAAACCCCTAGGAACGAAAATGATCACGGAAATTCCCGATAACCGAGTGCCGTTTATGCAAAAGGGTATTGTTTCTGACTGTTACTTTTTTTGCTATATAAATTTTATTTTTCTAATTTCTTTATACATCGTACTAATATTAACCCTAAGTAGTTAAAATAATAAATATGATCAATTACCGACTGATCGAGTATTGTTCCCGAAAAGATACTATCATTTCTGACTGTTTTCACTCATAGAAACCCCTAGTTTCCTATAGGATACCATAAAATTTGTACACATGTTTCTTCAAAAAAAAAATCGTACACATGGAAATAATTTGTACAGTAAGCAGTAATATGTTCCCATAACACCTGCCAACTACGGAGTAATAATAAACCACTGGGTGTGTTTAGTTCACATCAAAATTTGAAGTTTGATTGAAATTGGTACGATGTGATGGAAAAGTTAGAAGTTTGTGTAGAAAAGTTTCGATGTGATGAAAAAGTTAGAAGTTTGAAGAAAAAGTTGGTAACAAAGGGCAGTTTTGGATTGCTACCAAAATTTGCTCTACCAATATTTTGGTAGCCTAAATAGTACCCACCATTTGTTTGGATTGATGCCAACATTTTGGTAATGCCCATCCTAAATTTGGTAGCAATCTAGAACTTTCTTCGCTATGGTATCACAATTTGGCTACATTTTGATAGCAAACCAAATAAGATGAATACAAATTTATTCTATCAAATAATTGATAGCACCAAAATTTATCTATATTTTGACACTACCAAAAAAATTGTTAGGGCACTGAACCAAATAAGCCCTAAAACAGGCAAAGTACATAAAGCGGCCGACTTCAACCGTGCAGAAAATCCCGGTCAAACCCGGCGGTTCGCCCGCCCATCCGTCTGATCGGCATCGAACGGCCCAAGCTGGCAGAGGCCATAGCCCCGTACCAAAACGATTGATCGTTACCGGCCCAACGGGTCTCAACTCTCAAGTCTCTAGAACCTTCCGGAGATCTCTGGAACCGCGTCTCCAACGCGCGGCCGAGTCCAAACTCTCCAAAGTCGCCCGTTTCCCACGTCCGCTACGAACCCGCCGCCCCTCCAACCACCGTCCGGATCGCATCCGACGGTCCAGCCGGTCCACGGAACATTCTAGAACCACGCAGACCTATAAAACGATCGCTGCCTCGCTCTCGTCCACTCACAAATCGATCTCTCTCCTGCCATCTTCAGATCGCATCGATTTTCTCCTTTTCGAGTTTTTTTCCCCTTCGCTTGAGAGCTTTCGACGAGAGCGAGGGAGAGGGAGATCATGGCCGGCAAGGGAGACGGGCCGGCGATCGGCATCGACCTCGGGACGACCTACTCGTGCGTCGGCGTGTGGCAGCACGACCGCGTCGAGATCATCGCCAACGACCAGGGGAACCGCACCACGCCGTCGTATGTCGCGTTCACCGACTCCGAGAGGCTCATCGGCGACGCCGCCAAGAACCAGGTCGCCATGAACCCCATCAACACCGTCTTCGGTAAGTAGATCGATCTGCTCCCCGCCTCGGCATGTTCGATTTTCTATTTGTAGACTTGTGTAAAAAATGTTAGTTGAACATCGCTATGGATCCACCGTTTTTTTTCTATCAAGAACTAGTAGATAGATCTACTTGGCTGGTCGATTGAATTTCAATATCTAGCTGTTGTAGTTGATCATCGACATGAACCCATCGGCAGCTTTATTAATTACTAGATCGACCTACTCTGCTCGGCTTTATTAAGTTGTTTGTTAGTAGTTGATCATCGCCGCACTGTCTCTATTAAATACTACTAAATCGATCTGCTCGGCTCGGCCAATTAAATATTCAATTTTTTTCGCGCTAAGTTGTTAGTTGACCATCGCCATGAAACTCATCAACGTACCAGATCAATCTGCTTGGCTCGGCCAGTTAATTATTATAAATTTTTAGTGCTAAGTTGTTACTTGATCATCGTCCTGAACCCATCAACACAGATAGATCTGCTTGGTTCGGTCAGTTAAATTTTAAATTTAGTGTTACTTAATAAGTTGTTAGTGAAACCATCAAGGTAGATCGACCTGCTCTGCTCGGTTTTGTCAGTTAAAACTTAAAATTTCAATTTTCAGTGCAAAGTTATTGATCAATGATCTGAAACACTCGATCGCTTGTTTGCAGATGCGAAGCGTCTCATCGGCCGGCGTTTCTCTGACACGTCGGTGCAGAGCGACGCGAAGCTGTGGCCGTTCAAGGTGCTACCCGGCCCCGGCGACAAGCCGATGATCGGCGTGCAGTACAAGGGAGAGGAGAAGCAGTTCTCCGCCGAGGAGATCTCGTCCATGGTGCTCAACAAGATGAAGGAGACGGCCGAGGCCTATCTCGGAAGCACCGTCAAGAACGCCGTCGTCACCGTCCCGGCCTACTTCAACGACTCCCAGCGCCAGGCCACCAAGGACGCCGGCGTCATCTCCGGCCTCAACGTCATGCGCATCATCAACGAGCCCACCGCCGCCGCCATCGCCTACGGCCTCGACAAGAAGTCGAGCAGCGTCGGCGAGAAGAACGTGCTCATCTTTGACCTCGGCGGCGGCACATTCGATGTCTCCCTCCTCACCATCGAGGAGGGCATCTTCGAGGTGAAGGCCACCGCCGGTGACACCCACCTTGGAGGCGAGGACTTCGACAACCGGATGGTGAACCACTTCGTGCAGGAATTCAAGAGGAAGAACAAGAAGGACATCACGGGCAACCCGAGGGCGCTCAGGCGTCTGAGGACGGCGTGCGAGAGGGCGAAGAGGACGCTGTCCTCCACCGCCCAGACCACCATCGAGATCGACTCCCTCTACGAGGGCATCGACTTCTACACCACCATCACCCGCGCCAGGTTCGAGGAGCTCAACATGGACCTCTTCCGCAAGTGCATGGAGCCCGTGGAGAAGTGCCTCCGCGACGCCAAGATGGACAAGAGCACCGTCCACGACGTCGTGCTCGTCGGAGGCTCCACCCGTATCCCCCGCGTGCAGCAGCTGCTCCAGGACTTCTTCAACGGGAAGGAGCTCTGCAAGAGCATCAACCCCGACGAGGCCGTCGCGTACGGCGCCGCCGTGCAGGCCGCCATCCTCACCGGCGAGGGCAACGAGAAGGTCCAGGACCTGCTCCTCCTCGACGTCACGCCGCTGTCTCAGGGCCTCGAGACGGCCGGAGGCGTCATGACCGTGCTGATCCCCAGGAACACCACCATCCCCACCAAGAAGGAGCAGGTCTTCTCCACCTACTCCGACAACCAGCCCGGCGTGCTCATCCAGGTGTACGAGGGTGAGAGGACGCGGACCAAGGACAACAACCTGCTCGGCAAGTTCGAGCTCTCCGGCATTCCGCCGGCGCCCAGGGGTGTCCCCCAGATCACCGTGTGCTTCGACATTGACGCGAACGGCATCCTGAACGTCTCGGCGGAGGACAAGACCACCGGGCAGAAGAACAAGATCACCATCACCAACGACAAGGGCCGTCTGAGCAAGGAGGATATCGAGAAGATGGTGCAGGAGGCGGAGAAGTACAAGGCGGAGGACGAGGAGCACAAGAAGAAGGTCGACGCCAAGAACTCGCTCGAGAACTACGCCTACAACATGCGGAACACCATCAAGGACGACAAGATCGCGTCCAAGCTGCCGGAGGCCGACAAGAAGAAGATCGAGGACGCCATCGACGGTGCCATCAGCTGGCTCGACAGCAACCAGCTCGCCGAGGCCGAGGAGTTCGAGGACAAGATGAAGGAGCTGGAGGGCGTCTGCAACCCCATCATCGCCAAGATGTACCAGGGCGCCGGAGCTGACATGGCCGGAGGCATGGACGAGGATGCTCCGGCGGCCGCCGGCGGAAGCAGCGGACCAGGGCCCAAGATCGAGGAAGTCGACTAAATGATCGATCTTTTATCGCTTTTAGTTATACCTGCAATAATTTGTCGTTCGTTTTACACCGAATTCTTGAGTGCTCCTGCAACTTTTTTGGTACGGGCTTTCATTATGGCCCCGGTTTTGCTTTACTTGTTAAAGTTTGGATTATTATGGTTTTATTAATATAGTATTGAGTAGCAATTTATACCATTGCTCTTTTTTCTTCTTTTTTCTATGAATCTGCTAACACATCAGCTTGAGGCCTATTCAACGCCAATGCAATACATCAACGAACAGAGCAAAACTGTACAGTCATATCTAATAATCTTATACATTAAAGAACAGAAATCAACTGCCATGAACCAGAGATGCTCCAAGCTAGTTCAACAGTATCCACGACTATTATTAACTGCTCACAGTTTTATCTACTAGTTTAATTGGACGGTATCAACCTGTGACCCGTGCACAACAAAGAACAAGGCAAAATCTTGTGAACGATCTGACCTCCAATCAGTAAAGATGATGCAGAGACATAAGATAAAATCTATTGAACGATCTGCATGTACCTCCAATCAGAAAAGATAAGGGAGAGACATCATAAATTCTCGGGTTACATAACGTAGTAAAAACAAGTTAACTTCCCCCCTTTAGACCTATAACCCGCTATAGCTCTTCATACTCTGGAGAGCTTCTTCTTCTAACTCAACCAACATGCGGCAGAAGTCCTCAATATCCTTGGCAGCTTCTTTGAATGAAAACCTGAACTCTCTCCAGACGTACTGTCGTGGGACATCAAGGAGCACTGCTTTTTCAGGGACCTTGGCGAGCACATCAAATCCATGGTGATCAATAGAGAGCAAGAGTGCGTCCTTCAACAAAATACAGAGGATCAAAGTCAACAGTAGTAAAGTTGTACAACAATAGGTGGTCTTAATTTCGAACACAAGAAAGAAAACCCTTCAAATATAAGAAAATACATCAGTGTGGTATACAGTTATCCTACATTGCAACCAGAACTTAAGATACATATGATGATCACTTACCGTTGCAGTGACATTAAAATACTCGAAGCAGAAAAAGATAAGTGCTCTCCGTCTTGGGTCACTCCGGTTGATGCCATCAATAATCCTCGCAGAGAATGGCACTACAGAGGAGAATATATATATATTTGGAAAGTGAATATCATACTGCAAAATGAGAAGGCGAAGGAACAATAATTGTTTAGAGCAGTCAACTCTAAATAGATACATAGCTTAATGGATCAAGTAGAAAGCTTACATAACAGATCTGCTTTTGGTGGTTCAAAGTTATCCAAATCAACTTTATGGCTGCTCCCAAGCGAATCTATGTAGACACATGAACTGCACGGAAATAATTTCACGATTACAAATAGCGGCTTGTAACTACTAACATTGACAACTACTAAAAATCTCCTGTGATGACCTAAAATTAATATCATTAAGTACGAGAGTATGAAGTACATACCCAATTTCAAACTTTAAGATATTGTAGGAGCTCCCTTGGTCAAGTAAACTGAGGAGTCCTTCGCTCCGTGATCTGCATGCAGCACTTGCAGAAGATAATATTGCTGACACACTATGGCTAGCTTCACTAGCAGCTTTGTGTTCCTTCAGAATAGCTTTCTTCAGGCTATCGGCGATAACTGGAACCTTAAGCACAATAGTTGAAGCAGTCAATATCACCTTACAACTTATACTTCCTCCGTTTCACAATGTAAGACTTTCTAGCATTGCCCACATTCATTTAGATGTTAATAAATCTGGACATATATATGTGTTTAGATTTATTAACATCTATATGTATGTGGGCAATGCTAGAAAGTCTTATATTGTGAAACGGAGGGAGTACCAAGCAATCATGCATATGGGTATCCATGTGCAGGCACTCAGAACATTGTGTACCTTAGACCTTTTCATGAACAGCACATCACCAGTCATAGCGATTCGAGGAGGCAACTACACCAGAAAAGCAAGATCACCACCAATTGTAACAAAACTCATAAAGGAAAAAGGCAATAAGAACAATTGTATAGCAATTGTGGTTTCTCGGGATTTATAGAACTACCTTCCCGAGTGATCTGAGCAAGGTAGTAAGGCGGCCTGGGATTGGGCTGCAGACCGAGAGAGATCCCCGCTCGTCGATTACAATGTTCTATCAAATTGGGGATATCACACAAGCAACACATTCGTTCATTATAACAAGCACTATATGGATTGATCGAACATTGCAAGTAAGAGAAGCATCAATACTATAGCATTACAATGGTGTGCCTGTCGTCTTCGGGAACAATCAAGTAGGTCGTGCCCCTCTCGACCATGTAGTGCACCCTTGATGTGTAAATCTCCCCCTTGCTGCCAAGGAGCCCCAAAGATGAAAAATCAAAACAAGAACTATGCGGATTATATGATCAGTACGAATCGAAGTGTCCAGCGTGCACACCTTCCCTTGATGTCAGCTTTGATAGTGTTGAGGTGCGCTTCCCAATTTGCACACAGGATATTCTGCGAAGAGAAAGCGAAACTTACCGAGGTAACACTAGGAAGAGGAAGGAGGAGGAGGGTGAGTTCAGGTTGACGGCGAGCGGTACCCGGCACTTGTCGGCGAAAGATAGGGAAATCAATTTGGCCTTCGCCATCGCCATGGCCTCTGCCTCAGCGCCCGCACCAACTGCTCGACGAAATGCTTCAGAGAGGCGGAGATTAGAGCTTTGGGTTTAGGCTGTGAAGCTCTCTCTTGTACTTGTCGGCTCGCAAACACCCATGGAACTTGTCGCCTCGAGGAGGGGAGGGGAGCACCGGAGCACCGCCGATTCAAACCTGGCCTCGCCGGCGCCGGAGATGGAGGTGGAGGCGAAGTGGGGGAACGATGCGGCGGCGAATGGGGAGGAAGAGATTTGCGGCTAGGGCTTTCGGGGTTTTCCTCTTTTTCAAATTGATCCTCGCAACTATTTGGAATTAATCCGTAGCCATATTTTTTCATTAAAGACCTTTATGTAATTATTTAATCAAAAATATAGAAATATCAATTTTATGTAGGACCTTTTATGAAAAATAAGCAGAACTAGCAGATCCCAGAAAAGGCCTCAACTTCTCCAGAAACTACTCGTGCATCCTCCCGCCGCCGCTTCCCCACCAACGCCGCCGGCTGCGCGGCTGCGACGGCGACGGCGACGCTCTCCCCCGGCTATCTCGAGGTACGCGCCGCATCTCCATCCCGCCCATCCCCCACCCTTCCGTGTCCCGCGACTCACCTAGCCTCGTCTGGACTTCTCGGGAGGCGCCGGCGTGGAGTGGCCGGCCGCGCCGACGGCTGCGCACGGGCTACTGCTTGGTGCGTCTCAACCGTCGAGCCTAGCACTCGCGCTGGCGCATTGCTTTTCCTTGCGCTCGATTCTTGTGCCGTTGAGGAATTGCTGTGCTAGCGCCTGCTGGGTCGGCTCAGCTCGCCGGGGCCTGCGACCTGTTCGACGGAATGCTCGTACGCAGATAATTAGTTTAAGAAGTTGTACGAAGCGGAGATTACATGCCATCGTTCTAGTGGAACGATTGGGATTTACTTGTAATAGATTATGGATCGTGCAAGGAATTACTGGTCATGTTTGAAAACATCGGCAATGGAGATCCATTTTGTGAAAAGCAAGCTAATAGGCTTAACAGTTAACAGAGAAAAGAGATCCAGTTGATAGGATGAACTTTGGAAGTGCAGTTTTACCTCAGAATCGTGAACTTCCTTTTGATGAAAAAAAATGAAAACGGTGGACATTTTCCTTTTTATAGGTGTATTTCAGGATTGTCCTGTGAACATATAACCCCTTAGAGGCTTAGATTGTCAAAGACATGATAATTGGAGAATCAAATGGGTCTTTTCCTTTGAACTCTAAATGGATTTGTTGGGTTTATATCTGGAGATAATAGACGTAGAACAAATGATGTGTCAGTTTGTAATTATTTCTACAGCTGGCTTTGAAGGGGAATTAAGATATGTACATGTAGCGATTCCAATCGCCCTAATGCTATGATTGCTATGTACAGTTAAAATCAGCACTTATCACCTGTAACTTTTGGAGAAAAGTTTTGCAATTTACATGCATAGAAGAAAAAAAAAACATGATTACTGTTATAGGAGTATTTAGTAGAACAGCAGTCTATGATAAATGTGTATTCCATTTTCTAGCGTTCTCCATGTTTTTTGTTTCAAACATTTCATTTCTTACATTGCTTGTATGCCCATTTATCTTGGGACCCTTTTTATTAATATGTATCAATCACATGAAGGTTTAGTGCAAGAATGGGTCGGAAGGCGGGTGCGCTTTACATAAACCCAAAGAAGTTCGGTGGTGTCACGAAGCCTTGCATGATCGAGATGGTTTCCTTCCTCAATTGCCTGGCCTTGAACAAACAGAACGATGACAAGTGTGTCCGACAGAAGGATCTCTTGGTTGCTTGTGCTCAGGCTCAGGTCATAATCCAGATCATTTTTTTATCCCTTCAAATTGTTTATTCAAAACATTTTTTTATCCTGAAATCTGATTCCTGCTTGTGGCATGATCTCAGAAAGGAAGGCCAAAGAATGCAGCAAAGACCATCAATTACCATCTTCAGCGACTTGCACGAGACAAGGGCATTTAGTTCCGGTAATATGGAATCTTTGTTGATCATGATGTTTGTTGCCTTGATGATATGGAGTCGTAATGCAATGGCCTATTTGTAATAATCTTTATATCTCAGACTAGGCATTTCAACACAATATCGATATTATTTTCCTCTGAACTTCTTTACACTATAAAACGTGGTTTGCGGCTTTTGCGGTATACTGTCATTTTGTTGGATGTCTCTGCCTGCAGCATTAACTTGTATTTCTTCTTGTGAATAAGCTTCGATCCCAGTTCTAGCCTGATTCCCGTGTTACCTTCTTCAGCTTGTGACTCCATAATTTGTTATGTTGGTACAACTCCATCTGCAATTCTGCAATATTGAAAACAAATACTCCCAAATTTGGAATATGCAAGGCATTCAATAATATGCTCCCACCATATCACCAACTAAGCCATGGTTCCAACTTCCAGCATAAACAAGGCACATGTTAGGGCCATACATATGCCCGTGCATGATCAGAAGACGCAGAAGAAATATAGTTCTCTTTAGGGTGCCACATAGCCTTCAGCTTTCTTCATCTCCTCCTCATCCTCGGCCTTGTACTTCTCGGCCTTCTTCACCATCCTCTCGATCTCCTCCTTGCTCAGCCTCCCCTTGTCGCTCTTGATGGTGATGCTGTTGCTGCGTCCCGTCGTCTTGTCCTCCGCGGACACGTTCATGATGCCGTTATAATCAATGCTGAAGGTGACGTTGATCTGGGGCACGCCCCTCGGCGCCGGTGGGATGCCGGTGAGAACAAACTTGCCGAGCGGGTTGTTATCCTTGGTTCTTCGGCCTTCGCCCTCGTTCACGTTGATGAGCACGGCGGTCTCGTTGTCGTAGTGGGTAGTGTACATTTTCTGCCTGCTTACGGGGATGGTGGTGTTCCTCGGGATCAACACCGACATCCCGCCACCGAATACCTCTATCCCGAGCGACAGCGGCGTGACGTCGAGAAGGACCACGTCGCGAAGGTCCTTCTCGTTGGCGTCGCCGTTGAGGAGGGCGGCCTTGACGGCGGCGCCGTGCGCGACGGCCTCGTCGGGGTTGATGCTCCTGCAGAGCGCCTTGCCGTCGAACAGGTCCTGGAGCAGGCTCCGCACCTTGGGGATGCGGGTGGAGCCTCCGACGAGCACGACGTCGTCGACGGTGCCCTTGTCCGTCCCGGCGTCGCGGAGGCACTGCTTGACGGTGTCCATGCACTCGAGGAAGAGGTCCATGTTGAGCTCCTCGAACTTGGCCCGTGTGACGGTCGCGTGGAAGTCGACGCCGCCGTGGAGCGAGTCGATCTCGATGGTGGTCTGCGCCGTGGAGGACAGCATCCTCTTCGCCTTCTCGCACGCCGTCCTCAGCCGCCGGAGCGCCCTCTGGTCGCCCCTGATCTCCGGCCTCTTGTACTTCCTCAGGAACTCCCGAACCAGGTGCTTCACCATCCTGCCATTGAAATCCTCGCCGCCGAGGTGGGTGTCGCCGGCGGTGGCCTTCACCTCGAAGATGCCTATGTCGATGTCCACCCCGGGGTCGATGTTGAGGACGGACACGTCCAGGGTGCCGCCGCCGAGGTCAAATATCAGCACTCTCTTCTTCTTGTCGCTGCTGCCGACCACCTTGTCGAGGCCGTAGGCGACGGCGGCGGCGGTGGGCTCGTTGATGATGCGCAGGACGTCGAGGCCGGCGACGGCGCCGGCGTCCATGGTGGCCTGGCGCTGGGAGTCGTTGAAGTAGACCGGCACGGTGATGACGGCCTTCTCGACCGTCTTGTCGAGGTAGGCCTCGGCGGTCTCCTTCATCTTGAAGAGCACCATGGCGGAGATCTCCTCGGCGGAGAACTCCTTCTCCTCGCCCCTGTACTGCACCACGATCATCGGCCGGTCGTCCTTGCCGGAGGTGACCTTGAAAGGCCATAGCTTGATATCTCCCTGCACGGACACGTCGCTGAATCGCCGGCCGATCAATCGCTTCGCATCTACAAGAAATCAATCGATTCAAAAACACAACATTTTTACAAAAATCACAAGTACGAAATAGAAGATTGCAAAACTCGTTAAAAATACAAGAATAATTGTTTAAATAGAAAAAAAAACACGACTAGTTTTTTCATGAGGATGGAGCTCTCGCTAATTTTCTTCTAAAATATCTATAAGATTATCCATTATATAGGAACTAGCTGGGTGGCCCGCGCAATTGCGCGGCTAGCATCCATACAAAATTATCTATTTTTTACATATGATTTTACTTAAAATTTGTCAAATAGTTATCTCGTTATCTTAAGACTTTGGACTGAACCTTATCATCCCGGTGTTTCTACTTTTATAGTTTATAAAAGTCACGCCAGTCGCTACCACTCACTCCTTTGGCATATCTCCGTTATTTGCTTGCTCGATCTACCATTGTTTCTATTTATTCTCCTTGAAAACTTAAAAATTATACCTTATAGTTTTTAGAGTTTGTTGGCTTGTTAGGTTTCATTTTTACAATATTTAGAAGTCTCGTCAAACACTGCTACTGTACTCCTCTATGCTCTACGGTTCGTCCACTGCCTCCTCTCTTTATTAACATTGAGATTTTAAAAGTCGAACATAATTATCTAGAAGTCCCGTCAAACGATGCCACTGTACTCCTCTACAGCCCGTTTATTGCCTCCTCTCTTTATTAACATTGAGATTTTAAAAATCGAACATAATTATCTAGAAGTCCCGCCAAACCTTCAGCGGCTTTGCCAATGTACTCTTCTATGGTTCGTCCGTTGCTTCCCCTCTTTGTTATTATTGATATTTTAAAGATTATACATGATTATCATTGGGGTTTGTTTTTTTACTTTCTAGAAGTCCTGCCAAATCGTACTCTTTTATGGCTCGCCCGCTGCCTCCTCTCAACCATTGTGAACGTTCTACTTAACGACATGTCTGTGTTCCTCCTCTTAATCTTAATTGGGATTCTATTTGGAGTTTTGTTTATAATTTCTAGATGTCCCATCAACCATCATCTCTACTACTTTATAGGCATGTTGCTTCTCATTTTTATTATCGTTTGTCATTGTTGTATTCTAGATTGTCCTCTTTTTTTTTTTGAAAATTCCATATTTTTCATTCTAGCATTTTTTATTTATAAATTGTATTCCTGCATGAACTCTTCCATAATTTTTAAAGTCCTGTTAAACACCGCCACTGTACTTCTCTATGGGGCACCCACTGCCTCATCTCTTTATTATCATTAGGGTTTTAAAAAACGAACATAATTATCGTGTTGGTTCAGCTTTTACTTTCTAGAAGTTCTGCCAAACCGTCAATGGCTTTGCCAATGTACTCATCTACGGCTCGCCTGGTGCCTCCTCTCCTTATTGTTTTTGATATTTTAAAAATTGTACATGATTATCATTAGGTTTATTTTTTACTTTCTATAAGTCCAACCAACTGCTATAACCATACTGCTTAACGGTCTATCTGTCGTCCCTCCTCTTAATCCTCATTGGGATTCTATTTGGTTTGTTTTTAATTTTTAGAATTCCCATCAACCGTCACCACTCTACTTCTTTATAGGCATGACCATGATCAAACTATTTAGATTTTTTTTAATCTGAGAATTTGTAAGTCTCGAGAGCAAACTTAGAGACTTTTTTTACATTACTTTATTAAGATAATAGATAGAATATTTTATTTGTATATAATTATATCAATCAATATGCACCATTAAAATCTAGATCCTTTAAATACTTCACTTTTTTAATTAATATGGTGATTTCCGCCCGCTTCTCAGCTCTGCCCCATTCTCGGAGTATGAGCTATAACATATGGACCCTAAATATAGAGAAAGCTATTGGGAATCTTGTTACTTGCTCCCTCCATCTACTTTTGATAGTCATATTTCATCTTGGCACACAGACCAATGATAAGTAATTCTACTTATCATCCATTTAAACATGCTACTAGTCATTCCTCGTAAACAAGCGATTCATTAATATTTACATTTCACGATGCTCAAGTAGCCAATCTTGTGTGGAAGAATGGAGAGTCATGCATCAAATCCGAGAAAGTCATTAAGATGATAGGTTGTTGAATTGAAATATGCCTATCAAAAATAGAATTTTCAGATTTGAAAATATGACTATCAAAAGTAGATGGAGGGAGTAGAATTTATTTTTTCTAAAAAACATACCGTCTCTAAAGATTATGCGATAGAGCAAAACTTAAATGTGGTTGAAGGAGTTCGGATGCCCAGTTGTTTTATCTCCCCTACATATGATTTTGTACAGGACGTGTCAGTTGTGCATATTTATTATTTCTAATTTAGCTATGCAGACATGACGTGTTTGTCTCCTGTCAGTAAATTAAGTTTCCTAATTTGATTTTGATTTCAAAGGCTGCTGCGTAGCACACATCAAAATCTAACTCCACGCTCTTTCACGTGTCCGATTCATAAAAACAGAATCAAAGAGTCAAGCTTTTACATATATTGTGATTAAATCTCAACCCTTGTAGTCTAGATATGTTATGATCTAACGGTGTAGATTTTTTCTTTTTCCCCGATTAATGTGGGAATTTCTAGCCTCCACAGCGGACGTGGTGCATTCTTTCAAAGCTGTTTTAATAATATAATAGAATAGATAGATAGATAGATAGATTCAAAGAATGAATATGATTTCAAAAATTTTATAGGACTTTTTTTTATATAGGATTGAGTCTAAACTTTTCTATGTTTGTTCTACAAATTAAAAGGAATAGTGCTAAACAAGTACTTACTAGTTACAGTAGTTACTAGCGTTTGGTACTGGGATGGATGGCATTATGGCAAATAAGGGAGTTCGAGTTCTCACCGAAGATGGTGTTGAGGGGATTCATGGCGGCCTGGTTCAAGGCGGCGTCGCCGATGAGGCGCCAGGTGTCGGTGAAGGCGACGCAGGACGGCGTGGTGAGGTTGCCCTGGTCGTTGGGGATCACCTCCACGCGGCCGCGCCGCCACACGGCCACGCACGAGTACGTCGTCCCGAGGTCGATGCCGACCGCCGGCCCGTCGTCGTCGCCCGGCAGAAACCCCATCTTCTCCGAGGGAGAGAGCCGAGAAGTTGCTTGGGTGATCGCTGATCAGTACAGGGGATTGTGCCGCATTTATACAGATATACATGCAGTTTTAATCAGAGGAAGGCGGGAAGCCATTTTGCTAGCATACACACAAGTGTGAACTGCAATTGGGAGGTGAAGCGAACATTGGCGTTCTACGAGGCTGCATTAAAAGGATTCACGAAATCAACAGTCGGTACTCGGTAGGCGTTTCTTTTTTTTTTTACCCTTTTTTTTTACACGAAAAATTCAGCCGCAAGCCCATAACTCGGCCTGACTCCACTGTAACTGGGGTACCTGATTCCATGGCACATTGTGCAGCGTATTCGTATCCATGAAAGAGATGAAAATTTTGTGTAAATGTATGATTTCAGTCACTTTACTTGACCTTCCAGTTGCAAATGTACAACGACACGCTGTGTCACTGTGTGCCTACAGCCGCAACAATGAGAAACCATCTCCACCTCCGGTCACACTTGCCTCTGAACACTATCAAAATTCTACAACTGGCTACAAGGCTACATGTAACAAGAATGTGTTATATACACTGTTTAGACCTGAAATTATCAGGTTCCAAAAGTTTCAACAGCAATTTCTCTAACTTTGCCGAACTTTTCGTCGGCCTCAGAACAAAAGACCTTCCGAAGAAGGAACATGGATCTTTGTCATTTACCGAGCTACCTAAGCACCATCCACCAGGTGTGAATCGTTCAGGTGCTCTCCTCAACAGCTTGGTGTCGATCATATCCAGGACTGGATTGTCATTGGCAAAGGAGTGTGCAAATGGTGCACCGCTGCTTGCGATTGCGTCAAAATGCTCGGTTGTCAGGTTAACAGGTAATGTTCGTGGAGGGTTGTCCCATGCCATGAATCGGAGATCATTATTAACGGTAGTGTTCTGATAGTACTTTGAGTTGCAGATCACCGTGTGGAAGTAGCCCTCCGAGGATGCCAAGAAGTTGGCAAAATACATGAGTAGAGTGCGAGGAAGGTTGTCCCATCCCAATAAGCAAAATTCCAGGAATGATCGGCTAAGTATTACCCATGAAGAGCCTGCGTCAGGAGAAACATTACAGGTTAGAGCTCAACTCTACAGATGATAAAATTGCCCATTGACTGTGCTGAGTGGACTGTGAATTAAGCAATATATCGAGCATTTTAAATAATCCAACAGAATGTTGATAGTCAAAATACAGGCATCTGTATATAATGCAGATGTCACCCAAATGTGCAACTGCGATGATAGCTGTCCAAATGGTAAAGAAATGGGATGCATTATGGTCCTATCCCATATATATCTGAGGTAGACAGAATAATCAATCTAGTAGAGCCAGAATTCCGTATGCTGCTTGTCTCAAAGGCTGACCAAGAATGCAATGTGTCCTGTTAGTTCAGTTGTCGAGGAATTCTCTATTTAGATCTCTGTATGATCATATTTTTGAAATAGTTTGCACAATCACCCCTTTTACAAGTCTTCTATGTCTGACACTCTGACATAAAAGTACCACCAATTATGCAAAAAACTACTTTACCTTCATGAATGAGGGTGTGTTTAGTTCTTCGGGTGTAAAGTTTTTAAGTATACGGACACACATTTGAAGTATTAAACGTAAACTAATAACAAAACAAATTACAAATTCCGCATGTAAACTGCGAGACGAATTTATTAAGCCTAATTAATCCGTCATTAGCAAAAGTTTACTGTAGCATCATATTGTCAAACCATGGCGTAATTAGGCTCAAAAGATTCGTCTCGCAATTTACATGCAAATTGTGCAATTGGTGTTTTTTCCCCACATTTAATGCCCCATGCATGTGTCCAAACATTTGATGTGACGTTTTTGGCCAAAATTTTTTGGGATCTAAACAAAGCCTGAGCTTGCTGGTTATACAACCTCTAGATGTAATTTTATGATTGAAATGTGATATATAATATATTATCTATAAAGTGCGCAAAAAACGCAGCTAACATTGAAATTGTTATTTCTAATATACACCATAAAAATATGGAAGAATCTATCAGTACTGTGCTCGAAAAGATTATATTTTGAAAAGAGGGAACATATCAACATAGGCAACAGTAAAATGTTGCAGATAACTAGTACAGAATATATGAAATTTCCTAAGTAGAAAACAAGGATGAGGCAATACCTACAAATATTTTGAAAGCTGAAGGCAAGCTCCTTTTCTCCTTTGTTGTCACAACCTCAGTTTTATTTGAGATCTGCAATGCTGGATCTACAATAATTGGTCTCGCCCTTTGGTACCTGCACATGCAACCAGAAACAATCATAATGAAGAAAATATCAGAAAGGTTCAGAAACACATGGCAGAAAAGTGTTCTTACTCCCTCCAACCAATATTGCTTGTGTGCTCAATAAAATTCAGATCTCTTGGGAGATATGAGAAGATGTGAAGGATGTCTGTCAAGTATCAGGGCAAGAACATAGAGATCAGTTCGGAAAGTTAGAATGCCTACTATTATGGTACAGCATTCATAAAACAATCAGCATAAAGCTAGGAACGACTACTAACTTTTTTTAGTCCAAAACAGCATACTCAACAAAGGATGCAGTAAGCGATTAATTTCATTAGTGCAGAAACATCTCAAGTGATCGAATGCTATGAGTGAACTAATCCGTTTGTAACTGCTAATGTTTGCAGAGCTTCAACAGGTTGTTTCCATGTCTAATGTATTCTTTTAAACAAGGTTGAAGGAAGGAGTTTTTTTTGGAGCATTCAAGTGGCACTTGATGTCAGGGTTCATTTTGCATGATACCTACTGTCATTTAGGCGGCACCCAACAGTGGCAGAGGCATTGTCTAAGTCTATCCTCCTTGATCTTAAATACAGCCAGGGCTAAGAGAAGTACGGAGATTGAGCATATCACTGGCAGCGCAATACTGTTTGGTCATCCATTTCAACAATATAAAGACTACAAGCTGTAGAGTAGCTGTATGAAGAAAAATAGCATAACTTCAAGATTGAAGCTAATTGGTGCGGTAGCTCCACCAACTATCGATGGCAACACATTTTGGAAATTTCTTTAGGCCTGAGCTCCAGGTAGCTGCCAGGAATTGAGAGATCATTAAATGGAGAATGAAGGATCACACATGGAAGGTGGTGTGGTGGCATTGTTGTCAAAAAGAGCTGCTAATCGATCACCATATGAAGTTGCTTATCTACTGATCTATTTGATGCAGCTTTTAAGTGCCTTTGCAAGTTGAAGAAGTGTGACAGCAAGTGGGTAATGTGGATCGCGAAAGTGTTGATTATGGTGATGAGGGCTGAATTTGAACCTCTGTTGCTTATCGGGGTTTTTTTCTTCCTTCTTTTTGGTTTGCTTGCATTTTGTGCATTGGAGCTTCGGATACTAGCAAATAGTGATCCAGGCTGACTATATTATTTTTGTCCAATCCAATCCAAACTAGGGTTAATAGAAATTATATATATGCCTTAGTTTAGAACCTTCAATACACAAATGGGAAAATAGCAGTGTATTAACCAAAGAAAATTGGTTGTAAGGACTATAGCAATTGAAGACCTGACAATACGGTGACAGATTGCTCTATCAGATCTGTAATCTGCAATCTGATGAATTCTATAACCCAAAGCTCCAACATGAGCAAAAAATGCACATAATCTACCCAAAATACCACACTGAAGTGCTTCAGCAATACAATTTTTTAGCTGAGTATGCAATAAAACATACCACAAATGAAACTAAAATGTACAGTTGATTTGCCATCATAGCATCTAGAAGCACTTATCAATACCAGGCTCAGTCAAATGATACTCTGAAAATGGAAGTAAGTTAAACAGGTCATATTTACTCTATTTTTAGAGTAGCTACACTCCCATCTTATTTCACACTAAGACACACTATGATACTAGAGTTAATTGGTTAATTACGAGAGGAGGAGCAATATGTGCTCACACTAAGACACACACTATGTGCTCATATGATACTACTATTATACTAAGACAAAATGGGAGTACTATTTGTCAATAGTGGATGCCATATGGTTAATTACGAGAGGAGGAGCAATATGTGCTCATATGAAAACGTAAAGGCATTTAAATCAAGCGAAAACACTAGTAGTATCATTGGGAGGGAGGGAGGGAGGGAGGGAGGGAGGGGAGGGGGGCAATCCATTAGTATCCATCTTGAAGGAGCTAAGAGCTTACCATCCTGAGGCATGAGCGGGTAATCGGAGGCGCTGAGATTGATGAACCAGCTCCACCCATCGAACTCCCGGAGCATCACGGCGGCGGCGTGGAGCGTCGCGGCGAGCTCGGTGGGCCCGCGCCGCGAGACCGGTCCCCACTCCCCCGCCGCGGCGACCCGCACGTTGCCGTACCGCCGGGGCGCCTCCTCGCCGCGCACGAACGCCTCGAGATCCGCGCGCTCCTCCTCCCCGGCGACCCCGACGAGGTAGAAGTTCCAGGGGTGGTACAGCGCCCGCAGCATCCGCCGGATCCGCGGGCCGTCCCCGGCGCCGCCGGATACGAGGTACGCCAGCCTCGGCGGCAGCTGGTGCGGCGCCGCCCCGCGCCGCGGCGGCGCCGCGGGGCGCGCCGCCCCGAGCGCGGCGTAGAGGACGGGCACCGATAGGAGCGGGAGCGCCAGCAGCAGCGCCCGGAGCCACCTCAGCCGGCGGTTCCCCTGCGGCTGCGGCTGCTTCCTCATGTCCGTCCTGCTTCCGCCGCCCCGCGCGCGTCGGCGAGGGAGCCGCTAGAGCATCACCGGCATTCGTTCGCGGCGGCTCGCCGGAGCCGTACGAGCTACTAGTAGTAACGCCTAGAATACGAATTTAATCGGGGTAAAAAAGAAAAAATCTGGAGGGCTCTCGGCTCGGTTGCTGGGATGGTGGAGACGAGACGAAAGCGTGTGAGATAAAAGGCGAGAGGCTGGGCTGCGGCTGCCGCTGCCGCTGCAGCGCGGCGTCTCCTGCAAGCAAGCCGTACCGTACCGTGTGTGTCCTGGTTTTTGCAGTTGCTGCCGCGAGTACTAGTGCTCCCGGTACTGTAGTATTTATCAACGTGATTAACAAAAGTGTCAACAAGTTTGTGCTGATAAATACTATTATCCCTGCGTAGATAACAATGCGATTAATTTTCATAACACCCGGTACCAACTTAGACACTCGCAAGGTGCTCACACTCATCCTTACGAACTCACTCACGTATGCCCTATCTTTATAGACACATTCGAAAGACTGTATGTCGATATATTTTAAAATTAATGAAGTCACTAGGAATGTCTATGTTGACGATATATTATCTACCATTAAAAGTATAATTAACCATAAATACGAGTACCGTGTTAAGTTTATGATCCAAATCTGAATTGGCGTGTTCATCACAAGTAATCTGATTAAGTTACATTTACTTTACGGTAATAGTATAGTTAATGTTTGTAGTTAATTGTGCTAGCACGTAATCACTGACCGATGCGACGGTGATGGAGAGGTCCAGGTACTAATGAACAAACCTCCTTGTTGTAAAAAAATGTGGTGGCAATCAACAACAGCAAGCGGCTAGCCGGCTACACCTTTCTGAACGAACGGATTAAATTGTTTATGCTTCGTCGGCGCTAATTATTGGGATTGTCAGCTGTCAAGAAAGGTGCTTAATGCCCATCGTCAGCGACTTGCATGCGTGAGAATGGCGCTCATTGATGTTAGCGACCAGCTACAGCGACGACGTCCAAACCACGCGGTAATTTCAATATTTCGGGCCAGTTTAGTTCCCAAAAATTTTCCCCTTCACCCATCACATCGAATCTTTATACATATGCATGGAGCATTAAATGTGGATAAAAAGAAAAACCAATTGCACAGTTTAGCTATAAATCGCGAGACGAATCTTTTGAGCCTAATTAGGCCATGATTAGCCATAAGTGCTACAGTAACCTACATGTGCTAATGACGGCTTAAGTAGGCTCAAAAGATTCGTCTCGCGGTTTCCAGGCGAGTTCTGAAATTAGTTTTTTCATTCGTGTCCGAAAACCTCTTCCGACATCCGGTCAAACGTCTGATGTGACACCCAAAAATTTTTTTCCCCAACTAAACACAGCCTTCATATGCGTTTTGTAAAGATTTCCGTAGTAATAATCGACTCAATGGGAGCAAATAGCGCTGTGGGGTCTACTCTAGATGGTAACTTAAACCATCGAGCTGACAGTAACTTTTTTTTAGATGAAGCAGGTGGACTGTGGACATGAACCCGTGACAAAGATACGTTCCGTACAAGCAAAAACTGTGTTGAGGTCAAATGGATGGCAGACTCTAGTGGAACAGGGCTTTACGCCCATTTTCTTCTCTTTTACGCTGGTTTAGGTGGTGTTTGATCATGGACTTAACTTTAGTCTCTATCTTTAGACACTAATTTAGAGTATTAAATATAGACTACTTACAAAACTAATTACATAAATGAAAGCTAATTCACGAGACAAATTTTTTAAGCCTAATTAATCCATAATTAGAGAATGTTTACTGTAGCATCACATAGGCTAATCATGGATTAGTTAGGCTCAATAGATTCGTCTCGCGAATTAGTCCAGGATTATAGATGGGTTTTATTAATAGTCTACGTTTAATATTTATAATTAATATTCAAACATCCGATGTGATAGGGACTTAAAAGTTTTAGTCCCATCTAAACAGGGCCTTAGTTCCCAACTTTTTCTTCAAACTTCCAACTTTTCTACACACACAAACTTTCAACTTTTCTGTCACATCGTTCTAATTTCAACCAAACTTTTAATTTTGACGTGAACTAAGGGCATGTTTAAGGAGAAGGGGATTGGGGAGATTGGGAAGATACGCAAAACGAGATGAGCCATTAGCACATGATTAATTGAGTATTAACTATTTTAAACTTCAAAAATGGATTAATATGATTTTTTAAAGCAACTTTCCTATAGAAATTTTTTTGTAAAAAACGCACCGTTTAGCAGTTTGGGAAGCGTGCGCGCGGAAAACGAGATGCTTTTCTCTCTCAATCCCCCAGATTGCCCAGGAACGAACGAAGCCTAAACACACCCTTAATCTTTTGATATTTCATTGAAAATAGTACTCCATTTCAAAGGAGGCAATGTTTTGAACATTGTATAGGAGTACTGGATCAATTTTCTTCTTCTATAAAGAATTGTAGGAACTCCCTGCATGTTTCCTCAGGAAAAAAAACATTGTATAGGAGAAATGTGCATAGTTTTCTATATGCACATTTCTCGAACCGCATAGAAGTTGCTTTAAAAATTACTACTATATTAACCCATGGCTTTGTTTAATAATATAGAAGTTGCATCGAAGTTTAATAATATAGCCAACTTTTGGCTTCAAAAATTAAAACATCATCTATAATCAACCTAATAGTCCACTCATACAATAGTTAATTATAGATATATATATTACATCATTAATATCTAATCCACCCATCTCTTTCATACACTCCTGCGTCTTAAAAAAAAACCTCAACCTAAGGTTGATTTTTCTTTTTTCGACGGAGGGAGTAGTTTGTTGGAGACTTTGCTGCAGATGGTTACAAATCTGTAGCCATCATTTCTTATCTTTCTTCCACATAAGTATAAATATAATATGATAACATATATAACTCGCTTATTATCTTATTGTAGCTCTTAAGAGGCATATGTTGACCAATGTTCTTATTGCGACTGCTTTTGCGGGGTCATTCAAACACATTGAGAAGTGTGTTTCCAACAAAGGCTTTATGAAGTATTTTTTATGCACGACTTCTCTTTCAATATAACGTACCATAACTCTGTAAGACCATTTTGGGTTATAATGCTCTAATTTTCTCCGATCCTTTTACTTCGTTTATTACATCAATACGATCTCTAAAGCATATATTTGGTCATTGCTATTTTAAATATTATTAAAAATATAATTGTATGGTGGAGTAGTATTTTTCATGATAAGTCATGTAACATCATTTTATTATATAACACCTTTCTATCTCCTCCACGTAGGGATAAAAATGGTTCGGAAAGTTTCAACCAAAAGGGTCCATTGCTTTTTTTTTATTTTTGCAATTTTTGAAAATGGAAACGAATTTGATTTTTTTTTCTTGAAAACAAATATGAATACGGTAAGCCTACTATCGCTCAAAAACCAAAATTGGTCAGAAACTTTGCAGAAATAAAATTAGATTTTTTTTCCTCAGAATAAAAATTCCACGTAGGGATAAAAATGGTTCAGATTTATACCGAGTATTAAATTAGTTAGTTGAATGGGGATATTTTTCTAATCCGGTGCATTAGATTTGTTTTTCTATTGCCTAATGACATTTTTTTTGTTTTATTACGCTATGTCATACGAATACACATTTTTTTCCTAATATAGTTCTCCTGAGAAATAAAGTGTGAAACTAGTCGTATTATTATTAATTGATAAAAAATAGAAGTATCAATTTTATTGTTTTAGAAAAAATAATGAGATGTATCTATTTGTTGATTTTAGAAGCTTAGTTGGAGTTTTTTCATATTCTAATAAATATTCGTTACCGTATTCGATTCACTCTGTTAATGTATTCGATGATATTCGATTACATTTTCGTATATAGGTTCCTTATTTTGATTCATATTCTAAAAAGAAACATGAAAATAGAAATGATAGAGCTAGGTGCAAGCCTCTATCCGTTTTCTAATCGTTTTTCATCCATACTTCCACGTATTTCTAATTTAGGATTTTTAGGCTAGGTGCAAGGCCTCTATTCAAGACCAGAGTTAGTAATCAACTCTGTTGGGGCATGACTGAAAACTGTCATGAAAAGTAGTGACCTGGTTATCCCTCTTGATGCACCGCATAAAGCTTTTCACCTAACCTATCAGAAGTGCAATTTTGCCACTACTATTACTTTTTGAGACAAGGCAATTGAGTGGTTCCAACAAAAAAGATTCTGGCGGCAGCACAAGGTGTCGTAGCAAGATGCTAGAGCACAGCAGTGCCCAGCATGAAGAAGAGAGATGATTTGGCCCATGATGGTATATGCTAGCACCAAGATAAAGGTTGTTAGCCTTTTGATCTTTTGTCTTCAATTATTGGAGCCCACATCATTCTTTGTCCGGTCCAGATTATAGTTAATATAGTACTCCCTCCGTCTCAAAATAAGTGCAGTTTTGCACTATTCATGTTCAACGTTTGACCGTCCGTCTTATTTGAAAATTTTTTATAATTAGTATTTTTATTGCTATTAGATGATAAAACATGAATAGTACTTTATGTGTGACTAAATGTTTTTAATTTTTTCACAAATTTTTCAAATAAGACGGACGGTCAAACGTTGAACATGAATAGTACAAAACTGCACTTATTTTGGGACGGAGGTAGTAGTATTTAGTATCAGATAATTATCATCTTATGAACTACGAGTAACATGCGAAAATTACTATCGGCACACCAACCACAATATTGAATTGAAAACTTATCTGTTCTTCCTCTCTGTTGTGCTTTTGTCATGTCGTGTATGAATCGGATTAGGGTCACTGCTGTCCTGTGCTAATTAATTTGGGCTCTGCTCATACAAAGCTGGAAGCGTGGAGGGACAGCAATGCCGTGCACTACTCTATAATTTATGCTGTCTACTGTTATTAGTACAACAGGTAGATGGGTACTGTAATAAATCTTTGCCTGAATTCTTCTATGCAGAGTTTTGTTCTGGGGACAATGCTCTTCACATGTTTACTCATATGAGATATTCAGAATAAGCAAACATGATCAGATGAACAATGTAGTATGCAGTCTCAGTAGAAACAATGCAGGCAAGAATATATGAAGATTATTTAATTATATATAAATCCGTGATACTGTACTTTGTTTCAGTAAGGTCAAATGGAACTGGAATAGCAAGAAGTAGTTTAATTGAACAGATCCATCTATGAAAGAATAAAAGGAATTGGAAGAAGTAGCTATCGCTCAGGCCGCTTCAGATTCAGCAGCACTAGCAGCATTCAGATCCACAGAAAGATCAAGTTCCTGCATTGATAAGTGCAAGCTGTTAC